AGCCGCCGCGGGCGTGAAGCCCGGCCCCGCGGTTATCTGCGTGTCGCTTCGTCCTTACCGTGTTTGTGCTGAAATATTGACAGTTGGTCTCGATCGGAGAGGCCTCTTCCGACCTTGATGACTCAGTGATTGTAAATCTTAGGTTAATGTCGCCAAATTAAAAATTAGGGGATTTAATCCTCCGAATTTCACCTGTCGTGGTAAGGGATAGAAGACGGTACTTCTCCGTCCACAACTGAGCTCTCAGTAGGGAATATTCAAAATGTGCCTTGGTGGGTTGTTTTATTGCTTTTTGGGTGGTGTTTTTTTTTTAAGATTGCCTGTCCTTGGTTCTTCTGTGATGCTCACAGGTCTTTCCTCAGCCCGTCAGAAGGAAGTGACTGCTGTCCCAGTGTCAGGACAGGAATGCAGAGTCTTTAAAAGCAGCGTTTCCAACCCTGGTTTTCAAGCTCCCTTTTGTATGTCCGTACTGGTAATGTTTCAAGGTATCTGCCTAAACCTGCACCCGAGATGTAGCACAGGCAGGAGATGTATTTCCTTGGCCCAGTGCTTACTGCACAGCTGATTTCCAGCTTTTCTAGGAAAGAGGAACTTGCGATGTGTTTTGTGTGATCAGTCTCTCCTTTGGGTTGCTTCGGTGGTTTTGTGTCTTCAAAAAAAAATTAACCTTTTTTTTTCTTCTTTTTTTTTGTGCTCCAATTTGTGACGCTGCAGAAGATGCTGTGTTGTAGCTGTGCAGACTCCTGATGGGATCTCTCTTCTCTCTTACGTATTTTGCTTATCAGTAGAAATAGTTAATGGCATTAGCATTTATTCTCTGTGGCTGTTTGAGAAGAATGAGGCAGCTGGGACACCTGAACAATTGTTTGAAGCTTTCTGAAGGCGTGGACAGGGAACACTGTATGCTTTCATCTTGTTTCATAGTTTGGAGATTATCTTCAGTGATGAGAGTCTGAAAATTGATTGGAGGTTAAAATGGCAGGCTTGTCCCTTTTTTTTTGCCTTTAAATTCTGCATCACTAACCTGTTGTGAACTGGCTCGGCTTGAACCCAGCTAAAGGCCTTTTGGCAGGCTGTCCTTGTGTTTATTTTGTGATCTGCTCTGATTTTGAGGGCTTGATAAAGAATATTTGTAGGAATGCTGGGTTTGCTCTTCTCGCACTTTTCGTGAATGCTTTCCCTGCCCCTGTGACCTTGCTCTTTGTAATGCTGAGGGTGAAGTATAAAGGCGAAGTGAACAAAGAAACAAAGAGCAGAAATGAAAGCAGGGGTGACAGCGTGTCTGATGCCAATGGGTGTTTCTTGGTGAAGGTGCATTTCCTGTAAGGTAGCTCCTGTTCTGTAACCTGGGAGCAGGGAGAGATCTTGAGATGCTGCAGGGAACGAGATCTTGAGATGCTGCTCGTAGCACCCGCTGCTGTGACTGCTGGGAGGAGCATGCAGGGTGTGTGGAGGGAGCAAGAAACCGCGCAGATTGCATAAAGCGGCTCCAAACACCACCTTGCTAATCTGGGCTGAAGAAACTGGGGCTTCCCTGTTATCCCTAAAGCTCTGAAAAAGCTTGGACTTGAATCGCCTGCCAGCGACTGCTCCTTTCCCAGGCCCTTCTCTCTTGCTGCTAAAATGTCCCATCCTGATGTTAGAATTTGAGATTACTGGGTAACCTGGTGCTTTTTTTGCCTAGCATTTAAAATTTCCCATTTTCTCAGTCATCTGCTCGTTCAGCAGCTTGAGAAGGCTGATCTCAGTGCTCCTCTTGGTCGCCACTGTCATTCCAAACGGTCCTCTGGAGTTCTGTATCTTCCACACACCGGTTTTCGGTTTCTCCGATCCGTGATGAGTTGATGAGGAATTACCTGTACACGCGTGCGGTGCCATCATCAATAAGGGTTTTCTCACTGAATCTAACTCGGCGCAAACTGATCCCGAAGCAAAAAGGTCTGGGCAAGGATATTTCTAGATGCTCTCTCTTTGCAATTGAATCACAGACCTGAGGCTGATTTGCACAGTTTTGACTGGCTAAACCACTTCAGAAACGTGTAATTCAATCTGTTCCGTGCCGTTTTGGGAGTGAGTTTCTTTTGGATTATAAGCCAAGTACAACAGTCTAGATGCAAACTCTCCAAAATGGTTTCTAGACCCAAAATAAGCATCTATGAGAGCATCTCAAATATAATCAAGATGCTGCCCAAACCTGAGGTGTAGGACAGAGTGCATTCAGAGGCATTTATGTGGACCTGGGCAAGTCACCTGTGTGGGAGTCCATGCTGCTAGTTGAAATGCAGAACGGCAGCGTAAAGACATCGTGAAGCTTAGTTCAGGGCATGTTTTAGGAGGGTGCTAAGGTGCTGCTCCATCCCCGTGTCCACCTTTCTTCGTGGTCTTGATTAGAATCCTGTCTTTCCTGCAGTTTTGTGCAACACAAAAAGTGTTACATTTGAGACAGTGCAAGTCTCAAATATGATTTCTTTAATTGCAGGGAAGATGAAAAGGAAGTTTGCTTTTGGAGTGGATAAAGTTGTGGTTTAAACCGATGATTTTAATAGGTCTGTCTGGAAATGCTTTGAAAACTCCATGCCTGTTTAATGCCCTTTCCCCACCCTCTACAGTTATTTCACCCGTGAGAATAAATAGAAATCTTCTGAAGGTTTTCCTCAGAGCATATGGGTTTGTGACTCCACCTATCTGTTTAAAGTAACCTTTGCTGAAACCTTGCATCCCTGCCCACTTGGAACTCCGCAGAGGGCTGGTTCTGACAACTGGGATGAGCACTGAAGTGTGCATGGGCATTAGAAAAGGCTCCTTTATGATCATATTTTTAAAGCTGTCATTTTGTTAGAAATGTGGTCCTCACAGAGGAGTGGGATGGGCATCCTTGTCTGTCTCTATGAAAAGTTGTGTTTCGTTGGATTGAGCTACTCAAATCGGAAATTATGGCGCTTGTAAAATGTATGCAGCAGGCCTTGTGGCAGCGGGGCTCTAAGGTGTAGAACTATCTCGAGGCAGACTGTACCTATTCTGGTGGCTTTATTTAAAGCCTTTTAGGTTATCTAAACATCTGTGTAGAATTGATGGCTGTTGCGAAGGATTGGTGGCAGTCAGGGACTACTCAAATAGCAAGGGAGCTATTGCATTTGTTTTACTGAGGTTCTTTTATTACAAGGCAGAGGATAAAAGCTAGCATCAGGGTCCTCTGGCTTTTGAGATACTACGAAGTGGTGTTTGTGAGGATGACTTTCAAAATTTGTATAAAGGAAACTTCAAAGGATTTTTTAAAAACTTTTGCAGGAGGGAAGTCTAGGTAGATGGGGGCAGGTGAAAAAGGCGGAAGGCTCTGCTTTTGGTGTGAATTGCCCTGTTTTCTTTCTGAGGACTTACCCGACTGAAGTGCCAGAAGTCTGGCTCTAACCTTGAAGTTCAGGCAGTAAGACATTGCTCCCTGGACTCCCCAAATAGGTCAAATAGGTGTACTATTTTAAAGCATTATGATTCTTAAATTTCCTACCTGTATATTCATTTCTCATTCCCTTGACTCTTCTGGTATCGTTTCGTTGGTTGGTCAGGCAGGGGAACTGGAAAATGATTGAAGAATACCCAAACTGCTACTGTAAAAAAGCAGGGAGGATAAATGTCCCCTTTTTTCAAGAGTTGATTTTTAACAAAAGCAAATACTTCAGCTCACCACTGCAGTTTTAGTCCAGAATCCTCTGAAGTATTTTGGATTCCTCGGTGAAATTAGTAGAATTAGGCAGCAAAGTATCTTCGTGGGTCTGATTCTGAAAGGCACATGCCTAAAGGTTGTGTTTCATACTTCAGTAACGGAGTTGTTGGACTTCAGCAATGAAAATACTGTTTGTTCTGTGTGAGTCTTGGCGTATACCTACAGAGTAAGAGCCCCATCATCTCTTTCTTTTCTTTTGAGGTCATGAAACGCGTACGCACAGAACAGATTCAGATGGCAGTGTCCTGCTACCTCAAGCGCCGTCAGTATGTGGACTCAGAAGGTCCCCTAAAACAAGGGCTGAGGCTGTGTCAGACTGCTGAAGAGATGGCAGCTAATCTCACAGGTAATCATGTCGTATTTTCCATGCATGCTTCTTGGCAGAGTTGTGACACGTGTGGGTATGTACGTTGGTAACTACGTGAATCTGTCTGGATGTATGGACGGCTCTCCTTTTGAAATAAAGAAATTTCCCAGTGTGAAGTTGGCGTGAGTTACAAAGTTCTGAAGAATGAAAATGTGGATGAAAGTGTGACAAGGTGAGATTCATGGTCAGTGAATCAGCAGGCTGCAGTACCAGGTCACGGTAGTGGAGAGTGCATGTGTTGTATCCCAGGAAACATGAAGTCTGGTAAGTAGTCGTGCTTTGGGACGGAGATGAGAACAACCTAGATGAGGAATTAAGTAGAAGCAGGAAAAATCTGTTGTACCTTTGTACTCCAGGAGAGCTATATCCTGTGAAATGGAAGTGATGACAGGCTGTTTCTTTCTCTGGCCTAGTCAGCTTTTGAGTTGTGAAAGCTCTGCTCTGTCACTCAGAAAAAAGCACCCCTTCAGTGGATGAGACAGTTCGTTTCACTGCATGCCCTTTCTCCTCTTTCTTAAGGGTTTGTGAATCCTGCTACGCTACCTGCTTTTCAAATCCTGTCTGTGACAGTCTTCACTGTAATTGTTATTTTTGTTGTAACAAACTACGCTGCTGCTTGAGCAGGTACAGATATTGAAGGGATGCAAGCAACGTGGAGGTTATAAAGATTAAATTTACTCATACAAGTAATAGAAAATACTGAGCTGACCTTTGGGTGAAAATGCAAGGAGGAAATGTTTTCTGATAGTGAAACTGCTTAGACTGTGACGGTATCCCAGGCTAAGAGTGATGGAGAGCTTAGTTACTTGTGATGCAACTTGATTTGACAAAACATTAGTTGCAGTATAATGCTGTGCTTGTAGCTAGGTAAGATTGGATGCCAAAATAGGTCTTTACACCTCTAGAGTATTTTGCCATAGTTACAATCCAACGATGAGTGACTTGTGGGTAAATGTCCAGGCTGACTCTCTCCGGGGCCTGAAGGAAATTGGGTAATATTTCGTTGTTAGCAGTGACTTACATCTTCTTAGCGCTTTTCATTTCCTCGCTGTTTTCGGAGCAACTATCGGAAATCTGTTGCAACTCCCTGAAATAATACTGGGGGAGACTGGGAAGGAATGAAACCAAAGTTAAATGCTGAATTGTTTTTTGGTGGGAGATTTCACGGGAGAGGTCGGTAGAAAGGTCAGTGTTGAAATGCAGTTAGAATGTGGGACCAATCCACACCAGGAGGACAGGGCTACAAGGATGGTGAGGGGACTGGAACATCTCCCCTACGAGGAGAGGCTGAGGGAGCTGGGCTTGTTCAGCCTGGAGAAGAGAAGGCTGCAAGGGGACCTAATAAATGCTTATAAATATCTGAAGGGTGGGTGTCAGGAGGATGGGGCCAAGCTCTTTTCAGTGGTGCCCAGTGACAGGACAAGGGGCAATGGGCACAAACTGAGGCACAGGAAGTTCCGTCTGAACATGAGGAAGAACTTCTTCCCTCTGAGGGTGACGGAGCCCTGGCCCAGGCTGCCCAGAGGGGCTGTGGAGTCTCCTTCTCTGGAGATATTCAAGACCCGCCTGGACACGGTCCTGTGCAGCCTGCTCTGGGTGACCCTGCTTTGGCAGGTGGGTTGGTCTAGATGACCCACAGAGGGCCCTTCCAACCCCGAACATTCTGTGATTCTGTGAGAGCATCTGAAGTAAGAGAGATGAATGGGATTGCAAGCCCTCGCATTCGCATATGGTGTCACACAGAAAAAAAAAAGTTTCGGTAAAGAGGGTGAATGAATGTGTGATTGGGTTTTGTCTTTTTGCTAATCTTCCACCAAATGTTATTAATAAACTTCTTGTTAGTCTGTATCCCCTTGCCAGTGCAAGGGTTTGGTGGCTGGTGATTCAGAACTTAGTCATCAGTTTGCATTAGAACTGAAAACGGTCTGCTCTCGCGTGTTCATCTGCTTACTGTTTCTTCATGTCAAACGTGCTCGTAGTAAGCTGTCAGTGAGCATGCTGCAGTTCCATGAATGACTGTAGAAAAAGAAAAACCCAGCTTGTACTTATTCTGACATCAGAGGCTGAAAATACTTTCTGCTGCGGTCATCTTAGTTTTGCAAACTGAATAAAAACTGGCCAGATTCTAAAGCATGTATCACATTATTTCGGGGAAAGTGATCAGGTGTTTTTTTCTGAAGAAGTTTTTCCTTGTGCCTTCATAAAACTCACATTGCTTTTTCTGTTCAGCTCTTTTCTTTTGATTGCTTTTAAATTAACCAGCCTGTATAAATGGGAGAGTTGCTTACTTCTGTCTTCAATTCTGTGATTTCTTCTTTCACAGTGAAAAGTGTCCTTTGGTTTTGGTTTTAAATAGTTTTGTTTCTCAGTTTTGCCCCACCATTTTGTTTTGTGTTCTTCCAGAGTCTCTTTAGTTCAGCCATTCTCCATTGCTTCATGCACTCGTATCTGTGCACCTCTGTTTTCACACAATCATAGAGCATCCCAGGTTGAAGAGGACCTCGAGAGATCATCTGGTCCAACCTTTCATGGGAAAGGGAGCCCAGATGAGATTTAGCACCCTGTCTGATCGCACCTGCAGTAAAATACAGCATAGAGCTTCCTCGTGACTATCTCGTATTTTTGTAGAAAACTAGAAAAATATTTGAGGACAGAATGAGTGACTAAGAAACAGGTTCCTCTAATATTGCCCGTAGTATACTAGCAACACATAGGACTGTCTGAAATGGTGTAAAATTGTACGTCATCATGCTCAGGTAAAAGAGGAATCAATTGCTGTTAAACAGCGTTGACAGTAGCCCCGCATTTGTTCGCTGGGCACAATGCTGCTCGTAGCCGACACCCAAGGCCAGGAGGGTACTGTCCGTGTCCCTGAGTCAGGAGTAAGTTCCTCTCAACTTGCTATCAGCACACATAACTGGCTGCAATCACTGGAAGTGAAGTCAAGGAGCAGATGTTCCCAACAGATGTTCTTATGACCACTGGGGAAGGTGGAAAAGAAACTACGGTAGATGGATTGATGTACGAGAAGGATATGGCCAGTGTTTTATTTCCACCAGGGGGAAAATACGCCTGAGAATATACTCTTGTTTTGGAATCAGTTGAGCTCTTGATCCTTTTTGCAGTTCTGGTTGGTGTAAAGTTTTGGGAAAGAAAAGAATTAGAATTTGGACTTGTTACAACTGTTTGGTGTGTGGGGTTCATTTACCATTTGCTTGATGGGAATGAGCTCTGGCATCATTACTGAAACACTAAGGCATGATGGTTGCCCAGTCAGACTGTGCCAGGATAGGTAGCGAAAGATGACGTTCCTCTTTCTGAAGCGTGAGGTACACCTTAATTTTGGAATTAAGTTGTTTGTGCAGAGAAAGTTGAGTAGGTGACATGGAGGGAGCGCTTCATAAAGCCAAGGACAGAAAGTTGTGCCTGTGTGGCATGAGCAAGGTGGCGAGTCATTCCCATTCCCACTGAAATGAGGCCTCCAGGACTCTGGGAAGAGTTGACCTTTGTATGTAACCCTGTGATGCACATAAAAGACAGGCCATCATATTTGTTTTTCTTTGCTTTTACAAAAGTATGGGTGACATTGAAAACTGTCACTGAGCATTTCTGAGTTACTACATGTGTGTCCATGCAGTTTGCTTTCTCATGCTGAATATTGATTATATTAAATTTAACTCCAAACAGCGGAGGGTTTTTTATTTTAGCTGTTAAATAATACCAGTATGTGAGCCTGCGGTTCTTACCAGCTTTGAGTTTCTGAAGCAGCCAGGCGGTAGAAAGCACAGTAGCTTCCAACAGGTTATATTTCTTTCTTTCTAAACTGATTTGAGAGAAGATAGGGTATTGCTGCTGGAGTCTGTATTTGTTTTTTCCCATGAGGGGATGATAAGCACAGCTCAGTTCTCTGTTTCCAAAGCTGAACTCAGCTTGCCCTGGAGAGTTGGTAAACATACCTCCTGTATTGATGATGAGGGGACTGGAGCATCTCTCCTAGGAGGAAAGGCTGAAGGAGCTGGGCTTGTTCAGCCTGGAGAAGAGAAGGCTGAGAGGGGACCTTAGACATGCCTGTAAATATCTGCAGGGTGGGTGTCAGAAGGACGGGTCCAGACTCTTTCCAGTGGTGCCCAGCGACAGGACAAGGGGCAATGGGCACAAACTGAAGCAGAGGAAGTTCTGTCTGAACACGAGGAAGAATTTCTTCCCTCTGAGGGCGTGGTCCTGTGCAGCCTGCTGTGGGTGACCCTGCTTTGGCAGGGAGGTTGGACTAGATGACCCACAGAGGTCCCTTCCAACCCCTGCCGTGCTGTAATTCTGTGTTTCCTTAAGCTCTTGGAAGACAGACCCGTGCCTTACCAGAGAGAGAGGGGGGAGAATAGCGACGGGCTGCCTGTGCACCACATGCAGAGCTCTTTCTCAGTAGAAGCACTGAGACGGGCTGGAGGCTGGCCTATCTCTCTTTAGCATGTTGAACGTTTGATGATGTTGTTTATGGACTTCCAGGGCTGTCAGAGTTGTGCCTCTGTGCGTGAGCCAAATGCTGGAACAAAAAGCGATCAATCAGGAGGAGGAAGGCAAAGGGAGAGGATGGAAAGCAGTGGCGGGCTGGGGAGGCTGAAAGAAGTTGAAGGAGCTGAAAGTGAGAGTACAGAAAATAGGTTTTGTGGAGGGGAAAATAGGCATGCATTGAAAAAAAACATTAGGGAAGGAGAACAGTGAAACTCCTTGCCCGTTCATGCTTTTCTTAGAAGAGCAGATGAATAAACATATTAGTTATGATTTTGTAACTTGCGTTTCTCCTCGCTAGTACTTGTGTGTGCTTAGGGGGTGTTGGTGGGTGTCTGTAAATCTGCACAACGTCCCCGTTCGTGTTCTGAGAGGTTTGCAGAAGAGCGAGGTTTGGTGCCACAGAAGGAGAAGCCAATTCCCTTTCGAGTGGTTCAGAACCACTTTTACCAGAGTTGATACTGGTTCTGAAAATCAGTTTAACACCATCTCGGGAGACGATAACAACTGGGTTTGTGGTCAGGTACCAGCTTCCCTTTAACCTGAAATGCTCAGAGAGGAGGACACATTCTGATCAACAACTAATATTTGCTGGGAGATTCAGTGTGTTTTCACCACCGACTCCGAGAGACGAGTAAATGATAATGATTATCATTTGTTGTAAATGATAATGACTGGGACAAGGAATTCGAGGCTCTGAGGTAGTGTCACTGCAGACCTTCTATCCACGATGGCTGGTGGGTCCCACTGAAAAAGAAACTTTGTTCTGGAGAGAGTTGTAGATTGCTTTCCTCAGCTTTTCTGAGTACCAAACAGTAAAACCACCAAGTATCTTGTAAAACTGTTAAGGGATCTGTGACGGTGTTACTCTGAATTTTTTGGGAACTTAAGGTTGTGTCTGAAAACTTTAAAGTGTATTCTGGGGGGAGTAGGTGAGTTGCTGAGATTTTGGGGTGGGGGGATGCGTTAAGCTTTCAATATACTTTATCATTCATGGTCTGTTTATGTCATCAGTGCCACCTTTAGATGCTTCAGGCTATGTCACGCCTGGACGGCTTGAAAGGTGAAATGCATCTTGGATTTTATGAGAAGCCTTGTTTCCAGACACACATGCAAAACTCCTTAATTCCCAATTTAATTTTTACTTATTTTATTTCACAGTCCAATCTGAATCTGGTTGTGCCAACGTTGTGTCTGCAGCTCCCTGCCTGGCAGAGCCACAGCAATATGAAGTACAATTTGGACGATTACGCAACTTTCTCACAGGTAAATACCAGGAAGCAAGGAAGAGGAAAGTAGCTGATTTTTTTGTCATTTCAGTGAGTAAAGAACAATATAATAAAATTTTAAATCGTGTCTCTAACAGTCTTCTGATTTCTACTGTTGAGATTTCAGTTACTACGATTAGAAATATTTAATGTTTATTTTTTCTTGTTGTCTGAGTGCTGAGTACCTTTGGCTTTTGTAAATAGCTGACTGTTTGCCCTTTCTTGTTCAAGCATTTGGCCTTTGTAGATCTAGACAACAGCACACATATGCAGGACAAGAAGATTAGAGTGTTATATGTGAAAAGCAGGTGACTTAGAAATTAGTGTAGTTCTTTGCTGGCTCCTAGTTTAGGGTTCTTAATTTTATTCATAATTGGCTTCTTTTTATGATGTTCTAGATTTTTAAGGGAGAATTTGTTCCCTTAAATTCATCTGTAGTGGCTTTGAGATTGGAGGAATATAACAGAAAGTAAAAAAAATTCTCATTCTGTGCTGCGATGCAGAAGACAATCGTGATTTTTCTTTTTTTCAATTTTTAATTGCTAAAAAAAAAAAAAGTGACTCCTGGGAATGTCCTTATTTCCTTTATGAATCCCAAATGCGGGAAGAAGAAAGCAGACAGGATTTTTAGAGACTAATACCAAGGAAAGTGAGGTTGCCGCTCCTCCCGTGTTTGGGCACATCTGCATTTGTCCAGTGTAGTGATCTGATCCCAGTGTGCCTAACAGCAGGATTAATGTTCCCAATGGGTGTTGAAGGGAAAGGGGAGGAGGCAGGCAGAAAGGCAGAGACAGAAAACAGTGAAGTCTTGGCCTTGCCACCTTGAGCAGTTCCACACCATTGTGCTTAAGTATTGGAGATAAATCCTTCTAGTTGAGTAGATTTTTGAGAAGTGTGATTGCTCTGTTCAGTGGCTTAAATATCACTTGGGGAAGTACCAGGCATGGCTTTGGTGTTCAGGTTGACTGTTTTCATCTTTTTTGCCCCTCTAGCTCAGTTTTGGTTTCTTACACAGGTGAAGTGCTGCTGTTTCCGCAAGGGAGTAGCTTGCCAGCCAGCCGCAAGGCACAGCAGGATGGTTTGCCTTTCTGTGATGCCCAGGGGCACCGACGAGTGGGCAGGGGACTAGGACCACTGAATAATTTAGGAATTACTCTAGAGGTCTCTAGTTCAACCAACTGCTCAAAGCGGGGCAGGATGGGAGATTGATCAGGTTGCTCAGGGCCTTGTCCAGCCAGGTTTTGAAAATCAAAAACTGTGGAGGTTGCTCTGCACCTCTGGGCCTCAGCTGCAGGGCTGGGCGGTTTGGTGAGAATTTCCCTTGCAGCAGCTTGCCTGTTGTCCTTTCACTGAGAACCTCTGAGAAGAGGCTGGCTCCTTTTCCTCCATAATGTACCACTGAGTACTGAAGGCAGCAGTTGGCTTTCCCCTGATTCTTCTTCAGGCTGGACAGAACCAGTTCCCGTAACCTCTTTTCATGTGTTCCTGGAGAACACTTTCTTCGGTCCTGTTTCTGCCAACTTTCCATCTCTTCCCTCTTTCCCCTGCTGCAGAGTGAGATCCTTCCCCTTGTTGCATTTCTGGACTAGAGCACCTGCGGAGAAAAGAGCAGCTGCTGGCTGCTTAGAGCTTTTACTGCCCGCAGACCACTGGTTTCACTGGCCCAGTTTCAGTGGGACAGAAAGGAGAATGATGCCTAAGTATGCAAATACGTTATGTATGCACTGCGCATACACACACTCCGTAGTTACTCGTGTAGAAATAGGGGCGAGGCGCAGTACGGACCAGAGAACGTCTGGGCGAGTGCTTAACAGGAGAGGAAAATAACCTGATGGAAAGGGCGGAAAGAACGTGCGTTGGTGAGTGACAGGAGGGAATAACAAGTTGAAAAGAAGCAGTGCTGTTCTGAGGATCAGCGGTGTTTATTTTGTTCCAGTAATTGGACCATTTGGTCCTCTGGTAACTGGTTGTTGTGGCCCTGTGTGTGCTGCCGTGGTGTGCTCTGCTCCTTACGGCTCCCTGCAGCCGGCCGAACGTAGCAGCGAAACAGCCCCGAGAAGCTGGTGAAGGAGGGGTGGAGCTGTTGCACAGATCACTCTGTGCAAGGTGACAGCACAGCCTAATTGGGAGTTCGTTACACTGTGTACTAGGAATTACTCCTGGGATTTGCCTTGGCAGAGAGAGGAGGGGGGAGAAAGCATGCACATGAGCAGGCACAGAAATAAAACCAGAGCACAGCATACTGCAGTGCGTTTTGGAAACACTAGCTTCCTTTCCCCCAGAGACAAATCAGTTCTATCCAAAGCACACGTGCGAGTTTTATTGAAGCTGAAGGAACAAAAAGCCACCAAAGTTCAGGTCCATGCAAGCTAGGTAAATTATTTTGCCTTAAACACATCAAATACTATTTTAAATGCAGTGAGTAAATTTTAAAGTCCATTTATTGCAGTAAACAGAGGGCATAGTTTTTAAATACATAGGGGAAAAATCAGGCTGTCATGTAGTTTGAGGCGGTGTTTTAATAGCTGGCCCACACCTAAAAAGGGTTTTGAAATCTCTGCGTTAGTTGCTCTGACGGCATCCCTCACTGACTTGCAAATCTCTCTTGGGCTGTGTAGTAGGTACAGTGTATCCCCTTCAGGTGACAGAAGAGGTTCACTTAGATGTGCCCGCGAACGTCTCCTCTTGCTTGCTCTCTGCTGCCACTGTCAAGGCTTTTTGCAGCAATTGGCCTTGCTCTGTTGTATTTCCGGTAGGAAGTGGATTGAGAAATCATTCCAAGTTTGTTGCTGTTTTTTGTATAGATTCAGATTCTCAGCACAGCCACGAAGTGATGCCTCTTCTGTATCCCCTCTTCGTCTACCTCCATCTGAACATGGTCCAGAATGGCCTGAAAAGCACAGTGGACAGTTTTTACAGCCGCTTCCATGGCATGTTCTTGCAGAATGCCAGCCAGAAGGATATCATTGAGCAGTTGCAGACTACCATGACTATTCAAGATATCCTGTCCAACCTGAAGCTCCGGGCTTTTCTGGACAACAAGTACGTCATCCGCCTTCAAGAGGACAGCTACAACTACCTTCTTCGCTACCTCCAAAGTGACAACAACAACGCCCTGTGCAAAGTCCTGACCTTGCACATCCACCTGGATGTGCAGCCCGCCAAGAGGACCGACTACCAGCTCTACGCCGGCGGGAGCTCCTCGCGCAACGAGACCAACGGCCTGGAACCCAGCGAGGTGCCGGCTTCCATTCTGCAGAACGAGGCGGCGCTGGATTTACTGCAGGACAGCATTAAACGTGTCAAGGACGGGCCCCCTTCCTTAACGACCATCTGTTTCTACGCCTTCTATAACACGGAGCAGTTGCTGAACACCGCAGAGATTTCGCCAAATAGCAAGCTGCTCGCTGCTGGGTTCGACAATTCGTGCGTGAAGCTGTGGAGCCTGCGTTCCAGGAAGTTAAAATCTGAGCCCCACCTCGTTGATGTGTCCCGCATCCGCCTGGCTTGTGACATCCTGGATGAGGAGGTCTGGATACCGCTTTTTCTTTCTTTTCCCCCCACCCCACCTTTTTTCGTGCATTGTGGAGCAGCTAGTAACATCTCGGGGGACTGTGAGGCTGTTCCACAGCCTGTCTGCCGCCACGCACAGGTTTTACAGCCTGCTCTCGTCCTTGTTCTTTCCTGCTGTGGTTGTAAATGCTGGGCTTAAGTGCAAGGTGTTAGTGCTCGGGTCATAGTTTGTTAGTCCTAGGCGCTGATCTCCCTCCTCCAGCTGTCCTTGAACAGATGACAGTACACAGGCAGCCCAGTAAGGAGAGGTGACTGGAGGACGCTCCCCTCCCTGAGGAGCAGGGAGCCTTCTTATGGATGGGGAGATGAAACGAGGAGATGGGAACAGTAAAAACGCACTGTGGTGAATGAAAACTATCAGGAAAGTGGCTCAGAACAACCAGTCAGAAGGGTGGAGAGAAAAGGAGAGATGCAGGAAGAAGAAAATAAAGGTAAAGTAAGGAAAGAGCCACAGGAGGCTGGTCCGAGGCCTCGGGAAGAAGAAGGAATGCCTCAGTGCAAAACTGTATTGAAGGAATCACCTTAACCAGAGGTGAAGAGTTAGCGTGGAAAAATTACGCAAAAAGTCTCTGTTAAGGAATCTGCGGTGTAGAAACTTCAGAGGCTTCCCACTCTGGAGTGCTGGAGAGGACAGGGATGTGTGTGCCCGCACATGCCAGGCTAGATAGCATCTTGTAGTTTACTCTTATTGCCTTCTAGTCACGCCCTTCCTCCCCTCTCAGCCACAGCTGCCCACGTAGCATCTTATATCTGGTTAGAGATCAGAATTTGTGACTCTTGCTTTGTTTAATCACTCCCCTTTGAAGGGGAAAAAAAAAAAAGTGCCTCATTTGTTCTTGTGTTGAGCATTTAGCGGGAGAAACATCCTTTTTTCCACTGTTTTTCCATCTTATAAAAAATACCTAGTGGCAGCGTTCTGTTTATTTTGGAAGGGTGCAGAGAGCTTGCTGTACGGAGGGATCTACAGGCAGGGATTGCTTTGTTAGTCAGCTGGAGAACCAGAGGCAGGCACCCAGATGAGATAGCACAGCAGCACGCTCAGCGCTCCCCAGGTTAACCCTTTCTGCAGAGCGAGCAGGTAAGTGGGTCAGGCTAGCCCAGGATGGAGCTGCGGGCTTGTTTTCTTTATAAGCTGCAAGAGTTCATAGGGCACGTGACTCTGTGTGTTGCCTGTCATGGAAACCAAATGTCAATAACCTGTGACGGAGGAGAATTTCTCTGGTAAATCAGCAGGTCGCCTCCTTTGGCTCCAGACTGTAGAAAATTGAGATATTGCCAGGTTATCAGGAGTGTGTATTAGCTTTTTTTGGCGTGTAGGCATGTACTTGCATATTGTATGTGTATTATGAAATGGCCGCGGAAGCTTAAGTACAAATGGCCCTTGCTGGCTCTTGAATATTTTGTGTATCCTGCAGTATTTATGCACAGGTCTAAAACCAAAAACTGGTCAAAGACCAGCACAGATCAAAGTGATACTGCCCTGAGTAACTTCACTACTGACAAAACAAATAGTGATCTGACCAGGAGTTCAGTTAAAGGGGGGGATACCAGCCTGAACACACTGCTGGTTCTGTGTCCCGAGTGCAAATAAAAGCCTATGGACTACAAAGGGAATAAATTCCAGTATCCGGGAGTCCTCAGTGAAAATATGCAACAATTCACAGTGATAAAGCCGAGGAATCACAGAATCACAGAATGTTCGGGGTTGGAAGGGCCCTCTGTGGGTCACCCAGTCCAACCCCCT